CTTCCCTCCCTCTTCCAGCCACGTGCTACATACTCTGCCCCCTGCTATTCACATTATTTATAAATGATCTGCCTAACGTCTGCAAATCCTCAACTGTACACATATATGCAGACGACACTGTAATCTACGCTAGCAAACCCAAGCTATCGCAGCTTGAGGCTGTGCTCCAAAACCAATTCACAGAGGAAGAAAAGTAGATAGTGGATAACAATCTCTTCCTAAACACTAAATTGCGTAAAACTACAAAAACAACAACTGTGTATCAGAGCAAATTCAAATAGCACACTGACAGCAGTCTGCTATTTTAAATATCTAGGTCTGTTGTTAGACCCCGATCTATCTTTTGGCCTTCACATTGAAACAATCGCTTCAAAATTTTACCCAAAACTAGGTGCCCTGTACAGAAACAAATCCTGCCTAAGCCCTACAGTAAGGAAACAGATAGTGCAGCCAATGCTAATGCCGGTCATTGATTATGGGGATGTAGTGTATGCACCCACACCGCAATCCCACCTTAATAAATTTAATACATTATATCATTATTTCTGCCGCTTTGAATGTAATTACTGTACCCACCACTGTGACATGTTAAAAGAGCTAAACTGGCTGTCGCTGGAATCCCGACGCACTCTTCATCTTTCCAGCCTTGTGCATAAGCATTTCTGGGAAGCTCCCTCCCTACCTGAGTAGAATGCTCTCCCCGGCTGTTCCCACCTCCTATAACCTCCAATCCAGTACTAGCACGATATTTAGCACACCGCAATACAAAAATAAAGTGGCTCAATCCTCTCATTTTCCTACAAAGTACTTTTACCTCCAAAATCTGTTATGCATCTACAACCGCCAAAAAAATTTGCGCTAAATAGTTTCAAAATTTTGTCCTGAGTTTAGAAATGCCCAATGTTAGCATGTTCTGAGCTTTTTTTTTTAAAGAAAGTTATAGGGCTATAAGTACAAGTAGCACTTTGGTATTTCCAAACCATTTTTTTTTAGTTTAGTTAGTTACATTGTAACACTGATATCTGTTAGGAATCCCTGAATAACCCTTCACATGTATATATTTTTTAAAAGAAGACAACCTAAGGTATTAAACTTGGGCTTTTTTCATGCAACCATTTTACCACCAATCTATGCCAAATTTTAACAAAATAAATAAATAAATGGTGATTTTTTTGACACACATAGCAATTTAAGAATACAGGTACGGAGAACTTTAAGGGTTACTGCCAAAGAACACCCAATATGTGTTCAGCAACGTCTCCTGTGTACAGTGATACCACCCATGCACTGGTGTTTCATGTTCTCTGGGGGCTAAAATACCTTATTTGGAGGGTGCGCATTCCAGTTTTCCAACTTGGAATTTTCACAGCTGGTCATCATGCAGCCATGTCCTATTTGGGACATTTTTGAAGCCGGCCAATGTAATTTACCCCCATCAAACCATATATTTTTTTTAAAAGAAGACACCCTAGGGTATTTCAAATGGTGGTATTTTAACACTTTCCATGCACTAATTATACCACCAGTCTTTGTCAACCTTTTGGGTAGTCATTTTTTTGTGTTATTTTTCTCACATTGTACTTTAGGCATGGATTCCCAGTTCCTTTTATGTGTTACTGACAAAGAACACCCCAATATGTGTTTAGCAACATCTCCCGAGTACAACAGTGCCCCCAATGTACAGCTTTTATGGGTTTTTGCAAACTTACAGTGGTCAAATGTAGGGTTTTCCCCTTTTCCATGTTTGCACATTAAAATTTGCCAGATTGGTTTGCCTATGTTGCCTTTGAGACTGTATTGCAGCCAAGGAATGAAAATTAACCCCATCGTGGCATACCATTTGTAAAAGTAAACAACCCGCGGTATTCAAAATTGGGTATGTCCAGTCTTTTGTAGTAGCCACTTAGCCACAAACGCTTGCCAAAGTTAGCGTTCATATTTGGTTTTTGCATTTTTATTTTTTTTTTACACAAAAACTGCACTTTTACTGGGGATTTCATCGTCGTGATAAGTTTTACTGTTTTAAACACTCATATTTGTGTTCAGTGAAGTCTCCTGAGTATAACAGTACCCCCATGTACAGGTTTTATGGTGTTTTGAAAGGGTACACGGTCAATATAGGGTTTGCCCAATTCAGTTTGCCAGATTGGTTTGCTGGGTCTGTGTTGCCTTTTGAGACCATATGGCAGCCCAGGAATGTGAAATAACCTCATCGTGGCATACCATTTTCAAATGTAGATAACCCAGGGTATTCCAAATGGGGTATTTCCAGTCTTTTGTAGTAGCAACTTAGTCACAAACGCTGGCCAAAGTTAGCGTTTTTATGGGTTTTTTTTCAATTTATATTATACACATATACATACACATACATACATATATATGCACACACACACACATATAATACGTGGGTATGTATGTATATATATACACACACATATACATATAATACGTGTGTGTTTATTTACACACACACACTTATTTCCTATATATGTATAATATATTATAATTAAAGCATTTACGTGAGTAATTTTACTTGACATTGTATATAAGGTAGATATATATAGAGATAAATTTACTCATACTTACCGTAATTTTCTTTTCCTGGTCATAGGCCATGGCAGCACAACAATGGGTAGCTCCTCCCCTATCCCTAGTTAGACAGGAACCAATTAAAACAAGGGTACAAATACCCCCTCCTACCTCCTCCTCCCTCAGTCTAGTTAACAGCAATATCCCTGGGTGGGACCTTTGTGCTGCCATGGCCTATGACCAGGAAAAGAAAATTACGGTAAGTATGAGTAAATTTATCTCTTTCCTGGCCATATCCATGGCAGCACAACAATGGGTAATACCCAAGCTAAAACCAAGGGAGGGAAAGAAAAACTCAGACACATTATTAAATAATGCAAGTGTATTGTCACAAACAACTCAATGTGATAAACAAAAAAGAATAGTAGTTAGTCCTATGAGGCAGAAAGAACTGATCTGCCAAATCCATCGTATTGGCCAGCTCTTACATCTAAACGATAATGTCTAATAAATGTATTAGAAGATGACCAAGTGGCTGCTTTGCAAATCAGTTCTGTAGAAACCTTTGCTGCAGCTGCCCAGGATGAAGAAAGGGAACGTGTAGAGTGAGCCTTCAAACCTTCAGGAACACTAGTTTTAGATGACCTATAAGATTGGATAATGGCCGAAACTATCCATCTGCTGATAGTGGCTTTCGAAGCTTGCAGACCCTTCCTAGGGCCATTAGGAATAACAAAGAGCCTTTCCGAAATTCGCCATTCTGAGGATCTCTGTATATAAATCTTAAGGCATCTTACTAGGTCGATAGCATCATCATCAGCGTTTTCCCTGTTATTAGATTCTTCTGTGCTTAATGCTGGAAGGATTATCTCTTCATTCATATGGAACTCTGAAGTCACCTTTGGGCGGAATTCTGGAACCGTTCTTAGGATGACTCTGTCCTTATGAAATATCGTAAAAGGTTCTCGAGCCGAAAGAGCCTGGAGATCAGAAACCCTTCTACCAGAGGCTAGTGCTACTAGTAGAACTGTCTTGATCGTGAGAAGATGACAGGAAATTGATGTCATAGGTTCAAAAGGATCTGCTTTAAGAGCCTTCAGGACCAGAGGGAGATCCCATGGCGGAGTAATAGACTTAATGGGAGGCTTGATCTTGAGGACTGCAGTCAGAAATCTAGCTATGTCCGGATCCAGTGCCCATCTATGATTAGTTAAAGCAGAGAGGGCAGAAACATGCACCTTTAGAGTGTTATAACTCAATCCCTTCTCTAGACCTGATTGTAAAAAATCAAGAATGTCAGTAGTCGAAGGGTTCAACATATCAAAGGGCCTTGAACTGGCCCATGAAGAAAATACATCCCATATTCTGTAGTAAGTGGATGAAGTAGACTTCTTCCTTGCTTGAAGAAGTGTCTCGATAACTGCTCTTGAAAATCCCTTGTTCTTTAACCCATCCCTTTCAAGTACCATGCCATCAGACGAAGGGATGCTGGGTTTGGATGGTGAATCGGACCCTGATGTAACAGGAATGGGACAACTGGAAGGCGCCATGGATCCTTCTTGCACAGACTTAGTAGGAGCGGAAACCAAGGTCTGCGAGGCCAAAAAGGGGCTATTAGAATCAGTGATGTCTTCTCTTGTCGTAGTCTCCTTAGCAGAGGGAAGATGAGGGGTTCGGAGGAAAGGCATAAGCCAGGTCGAAGTTCCAACTGCATGTCAATGCGTCTCTTCCTATGGCCTGGGGATCTGGAATTCTCGAAAAGAAGTTCTTGACTTTTCTGTTGTTGCTTGTAGCCATTAGATCTATCTGGGGAAGGCCCCATTTTTCTACGATCTGCAGAAATATTATGTCTGATAGACTCCATTCTCCCGGGTCTAATTTCACCCTGCTGAGAAAGTCTGCCACCGAGTTCTGAGTTCCTGGGAGATGTATTGCAGAGATATTCTCCAAGTTCATTTGAGCCCAGGCCATCAAAGGTTTCATCAGTTTCATCATTCTGCAACTTCTTGTTCCTCCTTGGTGATTTATATATGCCACAACAGTGGCATTGTCTGTCCTGATCTTGACCCATTTGTGAAGTAAAAGCTGCCGGAAGTGCATTAGAGCCTTGAAAACTGCCAGAAGTTCTAGAAGATTCGAAGGGGTGTCGGAGGTTGAAAATGCCCATTTCCCCTGAACATAGTTGTCTTGAAGGTGGGCTCCCCAGCCCCATTGACTGGCATCTGTGGTGATGATGATCCATGGAATGTTTCCTAAGGGATAACCTCTGAAGAGAGACTCTTTGTGGGTCCACCACTTCAGGGATTCTTGTACGTGAGGAGGGATCATTATAGGTTGAGACAGATTGCCCTTGAATTGAGAAAGGAAATTCTTTTGGAAAGGCCTCATTCTCCATTGAGCCCATCTTGTAAGTCCTATAGTGGAGGACATTGATCCCAGGAGGCTCATGATTGTCTCTGCTGAGGAAACACTGGATGCCAACATGTTTTTGACCTTTTCCCGAATTTTCATACCCCTTTCTGGGGATAGTTGGACGGACCCCTCTGCAGTGTTGAATGCTGCTCCTAGATATCATGTTCTGGGATGGTTTTAAGTTGCTTTTGGCGAAATTGATCTTCCATCCGTGTTGTTGAAGATACTGTATACATATCAGGCCGTGATCTTCTAATATTTCTCTGTTTTCTGCCAGAATCAGGATGTCGTCGAGGTAGTGATATACTGCAATGCCTTTCTTCCTGAGTTCTGCGATGAGAACCACCAGAACTTTTGAGAAAGTGCGTGGAGCAGTGCTTAGCCCAAAGGGGAGAGCACGGAACTGAAAATGCCCCTCTTCCACAGCGAATCTGAGGAATCTTTGATGCTGGGGTGCTATGGGAATATGGAAATATGCATCTGCCAGGTCTATTGACATGAGCCATTGATTTGGAAAAACTGCTTTTACAATGGATTGAAGAGACTCCATCTTGAATTTCCTTATGTTTAGGAACTTGTTTAGTCGGCTTAGGTCTAATATAGGTCTCCATCCTCCTGTGGATTTTCTGGTGAGGAAGATATGGGAGTAAAACCCGTATGTTTGCTGAGCTCTTGGAACTTGAACGATGACTCCATCGTCTTGAAGGGATGAGATAAACTTTTTTAGGGAATCTCTTTTTTCTGCATCTCTCGGCCAGATTGTCTTCTGGAAGGAGCGAGGTGGCGGCCTTGTGGAGAATTCTATAAGATATCCTCTTTGTATGATATCCAGCACCCATCTGTCTTGAGTTGAATTTTTCCACATATTCTGGAAAAGTAGTAGACGGGCACCTACTCCTCCAGAATGGTAAGTGGGTTTGTCATAAAGGCTTCTTGTGAAATGAGGAACCTCTAGACTTTCCTCCTCTGTTGGATGAATGTCCGCCTCTCCATGGAATAGACCTTCCATATTCTCTTCCCGGTTTATAAGATCTGGTATCGCGAAAGGAGGGGTACTCAGAGTACCTTCTGGCTCGAAAGGATCCACGGGTTTTCCGGTCTTGTGGAAGAAAGGCTTTTTTACCTTCTGCAGCTCTTTTGATGCACTCGTCTAGGTTTTTACCAAACAACATCTCACCATGAAAAGGAAGGGCGCATAGACTAGACTTTGATGATGAATCTGTGGACCAGGATCTCAACCATAAAGCTCTTCTAGCTGAAATTGAAAGAGCCATGTTCCTTGCTAAGGCTTTCACCATGTCTACCGAAGATTCTGACGTAAAGTCAACGGCCAGTTTAATATCATTTAATCTTTCCAGAAGAGAAGATCTGTTTCTCCCATCTCTGATATCCTCTTCCAAGTTTTCGATCCAGATTTTCAAGGCCCTGGACACTGAAGTAAGGGCTATTGCAGGGTGAAAACCAGTCCCTGCTGCAACATAAGCCTTTGAGAGATGCAGATCTATCTTCTTGTCCATTGGGTGTCTAAATGAGCCTGCATCATCTACTGGTAATGTGGTATGTTTTGCAAGTCGAACTACTGCCGCATCCACTTTAGGGGCATTATCCCAATGGTATGAATCAGACTTGTCAAAAGGATAGAGGCGAGAAATTCTGCCTTGTGCTGAAAGCTTCTTATCTGTATTAGACCATTCGTCTTTAATTAATTCCTTAATAGTATCATGCACTGGAAAGGTTGCTCTTTTCTTTCTCAAGTCTGAGAAATAACGATAAGAGGTTGACTGTTCTGCAACTGCCTCTCTTAAGCTCAAAGATTTACGGACTTTGTAAATGAGGTGGTCTATCTGAGCAGGTTCTAGAAAATCTGCAGGGGCCTGAGTTTCTTCTTCGTCCGAAGATAAGAAATTCCCCTGGTATGATTCCATATCCATGGACTTATCTGTCGAATCATGATATTGGTAATCCGAAGGTTCATGTAACCGGGGTCTTTTGTGACTTGCCCTGCTTCTTTGATACCTTGAGCCACCGCTTGTTTTATGAATTGTACAAATTCCATTGAAGGATTAGATGTTCCAGCTGCTTCAGATAAACATTCTGCACATAACCGTTTGCCCTCCAGCGGTTTTTTATTACAGGCTTCGCATTGATTTTTCTTTGGAGATTTTCCTTTGGATGATCTCACTGTTTTCTTTCCCGTAGAACTATCATGATAGGGAAATATCTCATATTAGCACTCTTTTACTTTATGTATCCAGAAGAAAAATTAATGATATGATATGGCTTACCTATAACTCCTAGAGTGTGACCTATTTTTATATCCAGAAGAGTCCGAATCAGAAGACATTGATCTCCTTTTGTCTTTCTCCATTGTGGAGATGATTACGAAATAGTCTAGAAAAGTAATTTAATTAGTATAGAAAGAAAAGAAAATGGGAATGGGGAAAAAAAAAAAAGAATAATTATGTGTATATACCTTTAAGAAGTAAAACTTACCTTCAAATATTTCTTGCAAAGGAAATGCTATACAAAACAGAAAATGTATGAAAACAGGACTTCTAGAGTCCTAATAAGAACCTCAGGTACACTCTATATACGCTTTTGGCGCTTAAATAGGCGTGTGACGTCATATCTGACGTCACCGCCTATTCGCGCATGCTCAGAACGAGCGAATTCACCGCTCGCCAACTGCGCATGCGCGGCCCCAACCCGGAAGCAACCTCCTAGCAGGAGGCACCCTTGCTGCAGCCGGAACCCCGGCGCCGGCTTAGGCGCGCGCAAGGACATAGCGTGCACGCGAAACTGGCGTGCACGCGAAGCTAATGTGCCCGTGAACGAGCGGGCACGCGCGAAAACGGCGCACATGCGCCCCAGGAGTTACAGGACGCCGGGAAGGCTAATGTGATACCTTGAGCCACCAAAAAGTTTTAGAGAAAGAAAGGTACAAAGCAATCAAAGGTAGGGGGGGGAAACCCCATACATATGTAATTAACAGAATATATGCAGAAAGTATTTGCTTGGATCTCACTGTTTTCATACATACATGTGGGGTTTTGTACTTCAATGTAGAAATCCATCCAGAATAGGGTCTTCTCGCCACTTCCTGCTACCTCTTGGTCACTGCAGGGAATCAGAATTATTTGGCATTTATTTTCTCTTGCTACCCCTAGGGTCATTGCAAGTAGGACCCCCGGTCACTAAGGGGGTATCTTCAGGGGGACACCTTTGCACAGGGCCGGATACTGAAGCTTCTCAAGGAAGAGAGGCTGAACTTCCTTGGGGGTAGAAGGTAAAAACCCTCAGGTAAGCCATAAAAGAAAAGTGATTATAGTCCTAAAATAGACTAATTTGGTCCTACAGGGATAGGACAGGAACAAAAAGACTGAGGGAGGAGGAGGTAGGAGGGGGTATTTGTACCCTTGTTTTAATTGGTTCCTGTCTAACTAGGGATAGGGGAGGAGCTACCCATTGTTGTGCTGCCATGGATATGGCCAGGAAAGAATAATGCATTTTAAAAAATGCAGTGTCAATAAAAGTGATAATACTCTGATATATTAAATCACAATGCATATCACATATCTGCTATATGAAAAGTATAATTAAAGTGTCATTACTGTCCAAAGACCCCTCACATCTATTTTATAGAATCTATACTTTTTTTGTGGTCACCTCCAAAGAAGCCTCTGAAACTGGGGGCTGGGAGGGGTGCTCATCATAAAAGGCTTCCAGATTCCAGACTTAAAAATATAGAAAATGAATCATGGGAACACCCAGAACATGCATTTTTGTATACAAGTCTAATTTGCAGATAATTTATACCTTAACCCCTTAAGGACCGAGGACGGTTCAGGACCGTCATCGGCATTTTTGCGTTGCCGACCGATGACGGTCCTGAACCGTCCAAACGGTCTGGGGCTACTTACCTGATCGCCGTCGTTCCCCCGGCGGCGATCAGTGTTCCTCCGGTTGTGGGGAGACTGCCTGCAGCCCAGATAGTCTCCCCACGGCAGATTAGGACCCCTGTGGCCATGTGATCGCTTAACACAGCGATCACATGGTCACAATAGGTGTCCATAGTGCTGCCTGCAGGGGGACTGCCTGTACTGACAGGCAGTCTCCCTGCAAATGTAAAATCAAAAAAAAAATTAAAGTTAATGGTAATAAAAAAAATAATAATAATTATATATGTATAAATATGATATATAGACATATATTATATCTATATAATATATGTCTATATATCATATATATAATGCCATACTAAGTGTATTTTTATATTAATATGTACTTATATTAATATAAAAATACACTTATAATTAAATTACACACTTATATATATAATATATATAATAACTATATATATTGTATATATATATTATTATAAAATATAAATAATAAGTAATTTAAATTAAATAATTTTTTTTTTAAATAATAATAAAAAATTAAAAAAAAATTATATAGTTATATGAAATTTTATTCTAACTGTATTTT